AAGCATATAACTGGGATTGAAGTCAAAAGAACAGGTTATTAATTATGATTTCAGTCAAGTCACTTGTTCTTTCTGAGCTTTAGGGGTTTTATTCAACTTTTAAAATATGAATAATACCTACCTCCCAGGTTTGCTGTGGGAATTACATGAGATCATGTTTTTGCAAGTGTTTTATGAATTTTAAATCTCTATAAAAATAGTAATCACTGTACATTTTTAAAAATCCAACAAAGTATATAGAATGCTCAGACCCATATTAATTATTATCTCTACTACTTATATGATTTTCTTGAGAAGGCCAAATAAATTGAAAAGAATAAGAAAAACATTCAGCTTCTATAACATTAAATAATTATATCATAAAATTTATGATTTATTTTAATTAAATTATAATTTAAAATTTATATAGAGCACGTAGGTCAAGCCTGAGAAACACTGTGAACTCTGAAGAACTGAAGGTCGCATCAATCCTGCTTTTCTGTAACAGAGACTGCCTTTGTTGAATATATACCTACAGATCAAAAGTACTCTACTAAGAACGGAAGTCCTTAATTAGACCGTTGCTTTTAATCTAAGACTATATAATAACCTTAGATTAAAATGGCTGAGCATGACTTTTAAAATACTTCGAGGTAAAATACTAACAATTTAACTTGTTTTTTGCTGTATCCTTAGCTCCTAAAACAGGGCATTTTAAAATAATATCCACAAAAACGGACATTATAGAAAAAAGAAAGGCCAGCACTGCTTTCCATAAAATCTAAAATCACTCCAACACTTAATGTAAAATGAAATATGTATTCCCCTCCAAGTACTTAGACAGAGGGATGGGTATATAAGTCATGCCAAACAAAGCACCAAAAAGTGTCTTAATATGGCTGAAAATCTGAAAATTTTCAAGTATCTTAAAGAAAGCGTAGTCCAGCTATTTCATGTTCTATCATGAATTTTAAAATACACCCCACTTAGTTTAATTCAATCAGAAATATATTTTAAACTGTTAAAAGCTTCTGTTTCTTAAACACTCATGAACTTTTATTTCATAATATGTGATTGCGATTCTCTCTCATGCTAGTTTCAACCATAACAATCCCTAGAAAATAGAGTTCAATATTTACCAGTTACTCTTCTTATAGACGATAATATATGTCACATAGAACTTTAATCAAAACTAGTATTATAAATTTGAAATGTACAAATATCCACCTAATATGATATTACACGAATGGTATGAAATTGTTCTATGTATGTGAAAAGAAAATTCTCTGAAAACATTCCCCTCCTTAAATAGAGGAAGATGAAGGTAAAGAAATAATACAAATAGTATTAATTAAAATTCTTACAGTTACAAATGCTGCCAAATTTAGCAGGATAGTTAAATTACTCTCCTACTTCTAAGAATAAACGTTTAAAGGAACGTATAAGTAATGCTTTTAAATTAGTTGACCATATAACTCTAATGCTTTGCTTTTTCACAGCTTGTGCTTTTTATTTTAAAATTTGTACCATCTTTTTTGTTGTATATTATAGCTTCAACTTATACAGCGTACCCATCATTTAAAATGATTTCCTTCCAATTTCCAAGTTACTTCATAAGTTCAGTAGGGTGATAATTTTCCATAATTTTCAAACCCAGTAATTATGTAATTTATTAATCTGATTTGACTTTTTTACAGTAATTAAATAGTTACAGATTTAAATACATAATTTTAATAACATTTAAAATGTAACCCTCTATTTTACATTAGCCCTGAAAGCCTTTGAATCTTTGTAAATAATAGTAAATTATTAACAAACAGTGATAAATAAATTCAGCAATCTGTGGGAATACAATAGGTTTTCATTTTTCTTTTTAAAAAAATGCTTATAATGTAATATCAAAATTAGGAAATGACACCTCATATTCATTAGGCATGTAATTATTTTACCGTATGTGTTGACTTTCCTGTGTCACACCAGTTTAAAACAGGGTTAAACCCCAAAACACAAAACAACCCAAAAGATTGTAAGGCCCGTACCTAGGATTTTTTAAACTGGCTTTGGAATAGTCACCACCTTATCACATTCTATTTCATTTTATTGTCTTTTGATGAAAAGGAAAGTCTTCCACTAATTGGTAACATCACATTATAAATATAACCTCTGTACTCCAGAGCTATAATTCGAGCTTTTGATTGCCACTTCTGCTATTCAATTGTCATCTTCTTTATACGATGAAGAAGAGCATCGTTTTCTGAATGAGCCTCTGCAAGAGCCATTTTAGCTTTAGCCAATTCCTGTTTAAGAGATTCATTCTCTTCCATGAGCTGAAATGATATATTTGGAGAAAATAAGAAAATTTAACCATTTTCAGAAAACATAGACTACTTATACAGTATGTGAATATATATATATATAAAGGTGCGGCATGTGAGACAATAAAATTACCCAATGCTGATAATGGTGCACTTAAGCTGAAAATTGCTTTGAGAAGCTATGTGGAAACACAAATCAAGCACTTTAAAATGTTCATAAGTTTCGACCCAGCAACTCAAAACACTAATTAACTCCTAATTTCCAAATCTAATCATGATTTTGTTTAATTTCAACTTCCCTGGATCTCTCTGTGGCTTTACACACTGCTGACTTCCTCTCTACTTCCTAAGCTTCTCTCCTCTTTTGCTTTTTATACCACAGATCGTTCGTGTTTATCCTTCTCCACCTATGGACTTTTCCATCTTTCCCCTTACATTTTTTATATTCTATTAGGGTCCATATTTGGTTTTCTCTTATTACTTGAGTCACTCTTAGATGATCTCATATGCTCCTGTGGCTCCAACAATCATAGATAGCCTGATTCAGCTCAAGCCTCTCTTGAGCTCCAAACCCACATTCTGAATATCTCATTAGACATTTTCATCTAGATGTCAACAGGTCTTCCCTCATTTGAAGACTTAGTTCAAGCATTTTATCATCTTAGAACCATCCCCCAACCCCTAACTAAGAAGATGTGATAAAACTAAGGACTTTCTCCACAGAAAAATGCATTTACACAGATACATTAAAATACATGCATTTAATTTCAAAGAGTCCTCAGATTTCTTTTAGTCCCACTTAAGAGTGACTGCCTTACAGATCACGATGGGTATTTAACTATATAATTCCCCAAACTCTACTACATACAGAACTTGACACAGTACACTGTCACTACTGATTACACACTCTTATCTTTTCCACCAAACTTTGAATTCCTCAATAGATAGGGTGGTATACTGTTCCAATTCTATATCCCTACCTCAAAGTTGACATCCAACAAATCCTGTAAAAAAAATGAACTCATTCTGTGGTTCTATCATAGAGAAGTAAAATTTTGCTAGACATTTTACTTATAACAGTAAAAAATAAGAAGCAACTCAAATGTTAACAAATGTTAAGAGGAACCTTCAGAAAATGACAGTACATCCACACCCACATTACTCTGCCATTAACAATAAATATGAACCATCAATTATACTTCAAAACAACAATAAAATAAACACAAAGCATATATGGCAATATGGAAAAATCTGTCAAACAAGTAAAAAAATACAGTATATATACTAGAATAATAATTGTTTATAAAAATTATGTAAAGAGCCTGAAAGGAAAAATTTTAAATACTGAGTACTGCAAGAGGTTAGAATCTATTAGAGTTGTTTTAAAATATTTTTCCAAAGTTCTGAAATATTACAATACTTTTGCAACTTAAAAATAAGACCTCAAAGTGAATACATCCTCCAGGAAGCCTTACTAGATTCCAGAAAATCTCATATTTACTCCTTTACCTTCCCATTAGACTAGAACCTCTGTGAAGGCTGGGAAAGTCCCTACACCTTGCTCAACACTATATCCATAACATCTACCACCGTGCCATGCACAAAATGTGCTCAATAAACATAACTTAAATAAGTAAATAATGTCTTAACTATTTAATATCTAATATTTATTTTAATTGCTGAAACGGAAAGGGAATGAATTAGTTTTCCCATTACCTGTTCCCTAGTGAAGTCAATGGAGCACTCAGGAAAGTTAAATGACTGGAAAGGCCAAGGAACCTCGGGACTCGTCTGAGTGGCTTGAGTGACACTGTATTGTTTCCTCAGGTCACACCTTCCACTGGTGAGCAGCACTGAATCACTTTTGACATTTTCTCTCAAATCATTTCCAGTGTGAAGCAACTGAGAATCTAATCAAACAAAACCAATCCTCAGATAACAGTTCAAAATACTTGATAAATCTTCAGTTCTATTGTGAAAAATGAATTTAAAAATGAATATATCTCTTAGTATGAAGATATTATTATGAAATAGAAAAATAACAGAGAAAGCCAATAAAACAAAAAAGCTCATTCACTGAAAAGATGAACAAAATAAGAACCAAAAGCTCGTCTGTTGAAAAGATGAACAAAATGATAAAATCTTAGTTATGCAAACCAAAAAATAAAAAGGGACAAAAATTACTAGGATCAGAAATGAAAGAGGGGACGTTACTATATACCTAATTTAAAAAGCCAATAGGATGAGAGTAAAAATTTTCAAATCATATCTTTGATAAGAGACTTATTTATGCAATATATAAAGAACTCTTAAAATTCAAATAAAAAGACAAATAACCCATTTAAAAAATAATCAAAGATGTAAATGGATATTTCTCCAAAGATACACAAATGGCCAATAAAGATATGAAAAGATGCTTGATGCCAGTAGGGGTGTAGATCAAAACCATGATAAACAACCTCATATCCACTAGAATAACTATCATCAAAAAATCAGATTACAACTGTTGGCAAAGATGTGGAGAAGTCAGAACCCTCATACTGTAGTGGTGAACATGTAGGATGGTGCAGCCACTTTTGAAAACAGTCTGGCAGTTCCTCAATGGTTAAAGAGTTGCCACATTTCCCAATAATTCCATTCTTAGATATATACCCAAGAGAAATAAAAACTTATACATGAATGTTTACAGCAGTAAAATTCGTAACAGCCATAAAGTGGAAACAACCCAAATCCATCAAGCAATGAATGGATAAACAACAGGTAGTATGTCCATAGAATAAAACATCATTTGGCCATACAGAGGTATGAAGTACTGATACATGCAATGACATGAATAAACTTTAAAAATATTATGTTAAGTGAAAAAAGCTATACAAGACTATACATTGTATGATTCCATTTTTATGAAATGTCCAGGGTAGGCAAATTTACAGAAACAGAAAATAAACTAGTGGCTGCCTAAAGCTGGGAGTAATGGGGAGAGTCTGGTAGTAGGAATGGGTTTTTTTGAGGATTATGAAAATCTCCTAAAACTGATTGTCATGCTGGCTGCTCCATTTCGGAGCACACCAAATATCAATGAATTGTATACTGTAATTGGGTGAATGGTATGGTATGTGAATTATATCTCGAAAATATTTTTAATAAGAAGTACTTACAAAAAACAAGGCAGGGAATATTTTTACATATCAACATTTTTTCTTACTTTTTGAATTGCATATAGGCAGACCACATGAACAGAAGCCCAAGTCAAACTTGTTTTTAAAAAAGGAAATGTAGTTGTTTCTGTAACAGAGGAGTCCAAGTCCTTCAGGCATGGCCAGATACTGGAATTCACATGATATCCTCAGGAGTGTCATTTTAGGAACCTAACTATCTCTACTTCTCAAGTCCATTTTTCTTCTTTGTGTTGGGTTTAATCATATGATGGTAAAGGTAGCCTCTGGTGACCCCAAACAAGAAAGTTTTACAGCCTTTGACTCCTTTTCTCTCAATGTCCTTCTCAACTCACAAAAAAGGATGCTTGAGATACAGTCAATTCATCTATCACTCACAGTGTCCCAAGGACTGAAATCTTTTAATTGGCCCAGCTAGGCTCATTCTCACTTTTGTGATAGGGTCATATGATTGCCAGGTCCACTAAAATCACATGGAACTGTCATAATAGAACAGCAGTTCACCAAATCAAATTATACTGAGCAGACAAAAGAGGAAAATCTGCTCAACATAATTTTCCCCCTTGAAAAGATGCCCAGAGGGGTTAGCCAAATAAATAATAAAAACATTTGTGAAAGCTTTTGTTCATATCACCGAATTGCCCTCCATAATGCTTCAATCAATTCTGCCCTCATTGTATATACAAAAATGGAACAGTTCTATCTATATGGGTAAGTGCCATCAAGTTGAGTTTTGGTCTGTTCTTGATTTCATTTTATTATAACGGTCTTAATTTAGAAACTACTTTTTACAGTATTGCCCTGAGCCAATTATGTTTTTAGTAATATTAACTAGAAAAAAACTACCAAAACTGTTGTATTGCTTCAGACCAGCACACCATTCAGCCTGGTAGTGACAAAGAGAAATCCTAAAGTACTATGTCATGGTAAAGTCAAATTCTCTACTCTTTCAAACCTCAAAAAACTAAACACTCCTAAAATACTACTTGATTGGTAATTTATAACATACTTCTGGTTATCAAACTTTTAAAGGAGCAAAACTTCTTTTAAATGAAATCTGACATATAAATATGAACTAAAAAAAAAAAAAAAAGCTGAGTTATATAGGCTGTAGGACCTGAGGCCCATTCTGTTTAATGCTATTTAGCCTGTATCTCACTGCTCAAGGGATCCTAAGAATCATGAAAAAAACACTGACCAAACAATTCTGAAACCTATTTTATTGCAATCACTGCAAGGTGAAATGAGGAAAGAACAGGGGAGGAGAGAGAAAGGAGGAAGAAATATGGGGAGAGAAAAAGAAGGAATGAGATAGAGAATGAGGGAAGAGAGAGAGTTGGAGAGTGGAGGAAAGAGAAGGGAGGATGGGAAAACAGAAAGAGGAGTGGTTTTTGGTTTTGCAACTGGAGACAAAGGGAGATGTGATTGTGAGTCTGTTTCTGCTTTGCATATATACTCATTTGTAGAATTTTTTTAGAGTCCACATACAAGTGAAATCATATAGTATTTCTTCTTCCCTGTTTCACTTATTTCACTTAGCATAATATTCTCTAGGTCCTTTCATGTTGCTGCAAATGGCAGGATTCCTTTTTTACAGCTGAGTAATATTCCATTGTATGTATGTGTATGTCTTCTTTATCCATTCATTTGTTGATAGGCATCTAGATTGCTTCCATAACTTGGCTATTGTAAACAGTGCTGTTATAAACAGAACAGAGTCACAGGTATAGAAAATAAACTAGCCGTTACCAAAAGGGAGAGGGAAGCAGGGAGGGACAAATTAGAGGTATGGAATTAAGAGATACAAACTACTATGTATAAAATAGATAACTAACAAGAATATGTTATACAGCACATGCAATTATGGCCATTATCTTGTAATAACTTATAATGGAGTATAATCTGTAAAAATACTAAATCACTATGCTGTATACCTGAAATCAATGTAACATTGTGACTCAACTATACTTCAATTAAAAAAAAAAAAAGAGGGAGGTAAGTAGGTAGGAGGAGGCACAAAGGGAAAAAAAGAGATTAAGGGAGGAAATGGGGCAGAAGAGGCAGGAAGAAGAAAGTAAAAAGATGGGAGGGACTGGAAATAAATGCGAAAAGAGATAACCTGTGAATGCCAGGGATGATTGGAGTCTATTACTGTAGGAAGATTTATTCTCTTTTATTTACTTTAAGAGTTTCCTTCTAGTTATTATAACAAATTTTGATGAACAAATCCATGTCCCTCATGGGTGAAATGTGCAGTACACTACAGCAACATATACTATTCCCCTAGCACGGGCTCTGCTACTTACTTTCTAGATCTTTCATTTTGAACAAGACAGTCAACTTGTCTAAACTTCAATTTCTTCATTTGCAAAATGGAGGTGATAAGAATATTTACCTTAATTATCTCAAAGTTATGGTTAAGAATTAAGTGAGTTAATATTTAACATAAAAGAATTTTACAAACTGGAAACCATTATTCAAATATTGTTACTAGTACCATAGTAGGTGTTCAATAAATATTTTACTTTAAATCTAGATTTTAATAGTTCTCTGTTGATTCAAATAGAAGATGTCTACTCATTTGTCTTCCCTGTCATACAGGTACTCTTCTAAGTTTAAGGTTTTATGCTTCTCTGTAGGTTTAGTAATTTAAAAGAAAAAAAAAAGAAAGAAAGAAAATCTTCCCTCATTCCCAGATTGGAAGCATTATGGCAATGATTCCAAGATGTATATGGCAAAGAGTTTCTCATCACACATCTTTACATATGCAGTGCCTCCCCTGACCACAACAATCTGATATAATCTGTTGGGAGGCAGTACCTCACAACCCTTTTGGTTGAGAATCAATGCCATAATGGCCACTGTTCCAGATTGGAGTACACCAGATCCCAGGTGTGTTGGGTGGAAAAATGTTGAGAGCCAGTACACTACTATTAAAAGTAATTAACGGTAGATAGTATAGCATACATCCCCCCCCCATATATATATACACACACACAACAAACATTTTCTGTCTTTTTCTCTTATTAGTAGTGTTATTATCTAATTAGCCATATTTCACTGGAGCAAGAAGAAACTGTAATGTAACTTTGTAATTTTCTGAAAAATTATTTGAAGTTTCTCTGTAAAGTTTTTACTGAAAAACCAGTAATTGTTTTTAAGACTTTCCCAAGAAATGTGAAGTACCATGATAAGCAGCAAAAAAAAGAAGTATAAAGGGGCCTATTCCTTCATAATGGACTTTATTTAATCACATCCAGAGCAGCTGCAAGTAAACCCCAGAATATACTAAGAGAACAGAAAGGAGTAATGAAAAATATTAAGTAAGCTGCCATTATCACAGCAACAAACATCTAAAACTAATTTCTGAAATAACTGCTAGTGAGATTATTTTGAATGCCCCTGTTTGCTAAATACATTTGTTTCAAGGGAGAAAAACCACCACATGTTAAAATTTCTTAAAGAGCTATTTGAGAAAGTTGGACCATTCAAATCATTCACCCAAGAGCTTCTAATTCTAAGAAGCAAATAAAACTTAATTAAATACTTGTTTATCATGGCCGATATATTAGTCAGTCATATTTATGATACATTATCAAACAAGCTCTATGTGTGTACATTAGACTGTTACATTATATACATCATACACTGAATACCCTAATGCCATTAATTTCCACATGGTAAGAAAAAAAACACAATCTGCTTCATGAAATAAAGATTGAGACACTCTATGT